GAATTTTACTATGCACATATCCCTGATCTTTTGAGGCTTCTAAAAATAGGAGGTAAGATAGACAGATACAACTATAAAAAGCATATGGTTGTGGCTTAGGAACTGTAGCTCAGCCAGGGCTTAGATTGAACAATGTATCTTTGTTCCTAGAGTCAATTAAGCATGTAGGTTTAGCTGGTTTGAGAACAGCCTCTAGCATGTGACTCTATAAATAACACTTGCGCAACAAACATGGCCTGATAAGTGAGCAGTGCCTCTGGCAGACAGCCCACTCCAACACTGCCATCAATAGCAAGAAAGAAGCTCACAATTAAAACACTCTTCACACCCATTTCACGTTACTCCTGGTTTCCCGATTTTACTCTTGTTGTTTACCTAAAGGTCAAGTGAACTTTTCTTAATAAAACAGTCTTCAGTTTGCTCACTTGGTTTCTCATTACTTAAGTTCTGTGGTCTTACACATATTTAATACAGGTTTTCCTTTTCTTTCGGAATGAGCGTGATGTGGTTCCCAGAGGTCTCTGCCATAAAAACACTGCTTTTCTATCATTTTTATCTTTGGATCATTTTATTGGGAAAACAGGAATTTCAAACAAGTCCTATGATATAACCAAATTACCAGTCTAGACAGCAAAGGTGAGCTCACAAAGATGTATTTTATCCTGTCTGTGTGTTCTTCCCAAAAGTGTTTTCGTTTTATTTTGTTTTGTTTCACTTTTCCTTTAGCCTCACAAGGAAGAAGGTGTAAAGGTGTGTTGGGAGCATAAACAGTTGACCTGGCTGTTTCCTAGAGTGTTCCTGTGCATAAAGCTTTTAGATAGTATTGCTGAATTCTTCTAATTTGTGCCACCTAACCTCACAGAATCTTAAGAGCTGGAAAGTGCTAGCTTCTTAGGTAGTTGTGCAAGGGACAAGGCATTTAAGATTACATGGCTGAAACTGGGCGTTAGTGGCTCACATCTGTAATCCTAGCTACTTGGGCGACTCGAAGTTTGAGAGACCCCCTCCCCACACACACCCCAATCTCCAAAATAACCACAGCAAAATGGACTGGAGATGTGGCTCAAGTGGTAGAGCACCTGCTTTGCAAGTGCAAAGCCCTGAGTTCAAACCCCCCCCCCACCCCAAGAAAGATTACTTTGCTGAGATTTTTGTGAAAAGCAGGTTTTATAAATTTTTTAGTTAGAAGAAAAAATTTTCAAAGTGGGCTATGAAAAGAGGATAACACAGCATAGTTTTGGTTTAAGTTGATAAAAGTGTCATTTTGCAGGTGCCAGTTGTAGATTGCATCATTTTACAAATTAAGAGTTTGAGAACTCTCTATTCTTTAAATTATTGGTTTCTCTCCTCCGTTCCCTTTCTCTCTCTTTTTTTTTTTTTTTTGAGAGAAAGTCCTGCGTGTAGCCTAGAGTGTTCCTGTGCATAAAGCTTTTAGATAGTATTGCTGAATTCTTCTAATTTGTGCCACCTAACCTCACAGAATCTTAAGAGCTGGAAAGTGCTAGCTTCTTAGGTAGTTGTGCAAGGGACAAGGCATTTAAGATTACATGGCTGAAACTGGGCGTTAGTGGCTCACATCTGTAATCCTAGCTACTTGGGCGACTCGAAGTTTGAGAGACCCCCTCCCCACACACACCCCAATCTCCAAAATAACCACAGCAAAATGGACTGGAGATGTGGCTCAAGTGGTAGAGCACCTGCTTTGCAAGTGCAAAGCCCTGAGTTCAAACCCCCCCCCACCCCAAGAAAGATTACTTTGCTGAGATTTTTGTGAAAAGCAGGTTTTATAAATTTTTTAGTTCAGAAGAAAAACATTTTCAAAAGTGGGCTATGAAAGAGGATAACACACAGCATAGTTTGGTTTAAGTTGATAAAAGTGTCATTTTGCAGGTGCCAGTTGTAGATTGCATCATTTTACAAATTAAGAGTTTGAGAACTCTCTATTCTTTAAATTATTGGTTTCTCTCCTCCGTTCCCTTTCTCTCTCTTTTTTTTTTTTTTTTTGAGAGAAAGTCCTGCTGTGTAGCCCAAGCTGCCCTCAAACTCTCTATCCTCCTGCCTCTGCTCCCAAGTGCTGGGATTACAGGCGTGTGCCTCATACAGCTCACTGCAGCTCTTCATCTTGTGTTGGGTGGCCTAAGATTCTGCACTTCTGCACTCTCCCGGGTGCTGTCAGTGTTGCTGGCCCAAGGCACACACTATTAAGTGACAGGTATACAAGAATTGTTAAAGACCCGTTCCTTGAGATTTCCAACCTTCATCATACTGTCAGCATCAATGTTAACCATTAACTTTATTTTACTGACCTTCATTAGTGTGTTTAAAGTTAACTCTAAAACTTGAGGAGAGGTGTAAGAAAATGATACTTTTCTGTTACCGTAAAACTTACTGTGTTCATAATGAACTGAATTATGGATTCAGTTTTTGGAAATAAAACATAACCAAGTATTTGAAGCACATGTGAGCATTTTTGAGGTTGGGCTTCGGCTGGATTTCAGAACTGTTGCTTATCTTTGACATGATTGACAGAGTTGACCATTTTATGGCTTCAGTAAGAAGTATTTGTTTGTACAGAGCAGTTTCCAGCAGTTAATATTTTGACAGTCAGTACGGGAATAAGATTGTTCTTTTAGATTCACTATTTTGCTTCTCTGCTCTTAGACGCCAGTGTACATGCTGGGTCCCTTTCCTAGTTCACTGTTTCGCTAATAGATGTATGTAACACTGGCCCAGAAATACTGCTCCTTTCCTTCCCCAGAAACCTGTAATATCTACCTATTGCATCTTTGAAGTTTTTCCTATTTTAAGTCTTGGACTAGAAAAGGAATGAAGTTAGGAAAAATATTGGAAAGCCCTAGTTGCTTTTATATATATATTATTGAATTTAATCCTTCTAATTAATTTACCTCCCAGGGAGGTAAATGAATAAATCAGTCTCATTTTTTTTTTTTAAGATAAAGCAGGCTGATAAAACGTGCCTGTGCAATCCAGATTGTTACTGTCAAAGCTGGGATTTTAACATACACCTTGCCCTGCTTTTCTCCGGAGGAGGCTTCTCACGGAAGGATTTGGGTCTTGAAGAGGTTAGGTATGGGCTAGCTGGGGGACTGTTACTACATGAGGAGGAACCACATCCTCAGGAAGCACAGCAGATGTTTCAAAAGACCCGAAGACGCGTGTTGAATGTGGATAGCTGACGACACTGTTGATTTATATGAAGGTTTTTTCTTTTTTCTTTTCTTCCCCCAGTACTAGGGCTTGAACTCAGGGCCTACATCTTGAGCCACTCCCAGCCCTTTTTTGTGATGGGCTTTTCAAGATATGGTCTCAGGAACTATTTGCCCAGGCTGGCTTTGAACTGCGATCCTCCTGATCTCTACCTCTTGAGTAGCTAGGATTACAGGCAGGGACCATACATAAAGGGTTTTTAAGTGATAGGAATGACTTAGGAATGACAAGGGTCATTCCTAAGTATGCAAACCCTTTTTCTTCTTATCCCTTTTCTCTTTGTTGGGGAGCTGAAAGAACTCTTTCCCCATTCTGCTCTAGCCAGAGCCTGTGATTCTTTCATATGGGGTTAATATGATAATGGTATTGATGAGATAGCATTCTGGACCCATTTCAGGACAGTTAACCACACAGTGTCATTTCCTCACCATTTACATGGATGTTTATCCTGAGATGATTCAAGAAGAGAGACTCGGGCTTGAAGCTTAAATGGCTGTAAAAATGGTTAAGAGGGTTTGTTTTAAAAAAAAAAAAAAAGTTCCTTTTTTCTGTCCCCCCCATTTAAAAAAATAATAGGAGTACATGATTTAGTAATAGGAAAACCTAGCAAAGATTTCTAATAAAATTTTACCTTGTATAAATAGACACTGTCAGAACATCTCATTGTTTGTTCTCATACATGCTCACTGTTCATGTGTATATTCTTAACAGTTAGCCTTATCCCATATATACTGTTTTGTAAACCGTGTTGTGAATTCTTCATGCTCTTAAACGTTCTCTAGCTACATAGTAGTCCATGTATCACCATATTTAACTACTCCCCTACCATGGATTTTAGCTGGCTTTTAAATTTTTTGCTATTAAAAATGGTACTGGAGCCATGTTTGATGGCCTACACTTGTGATCCCAGCACTTGGGAGGCCAAGGCAGGAACAGCATGAATTTGAGAACAGCCTGGGCTCCATAGCCAGTTCAGGATGTTCTGGGCTCAATAGTGAGACCCTGTTTCAAAAAAAAAAAATAATTTACTGAAGCCAGATGGCTTCAGACGGGGGGGAAAAGCAGCATTCATTGAAAGCTCATGTATTAACTTCTGTGCTAAATGCTTACAGTTTTGTATTTCACAGAGTCTTAAACTGTTTTCAGCCCCAATTCTGTGGGTGAAGCAGTTTGTATGCACACACATTTCACAGCAAGTTGTCAATGTGTAGAAAATGTCAGCAAGTGACAAAGCCTCGGGTGGAAACAGGTTATTATTCAGGCCACAGGAGAAAGTGAAAGCTTACAGGTGAAATTTCAAATTATGTCTTTGCTTTGAAGTAGATAGTTTAGTCTCTTCTTTTGGTTTTTGTGTTTCATTCTAAAGAAGGGGCTTAAGCCTTAATGTGGCACTCTTAGCTCCAAAAGAAAGGCATGGGCTCTCTGGCAAAACTTGACTTAGGGTCTTGTGACTGCTTTTTAGATGACTAACTTGCAAACTGCATTTTCTCTTTACATTAGAAGCAAGTAATAATGGTCTACTAGGTGAAGACAACCAAAGATTCACTTAAAAAAATTCCAGGCCTAACTGTTTCTGATCTTGCCCTTTGATATATGAGGTAGGTGTTGAGTGACTAGGTTGAGAGGTGTGTGCAGAAGAAAGGTGGCAGCAGTAGTGAGGATGTCTAGACTTCATGAGCCCTGTGCATTCTAACCCCCACGTCTGCCCTACTCTGACGAGGATCTTAGGACATGGTGTTTGTCATCTAACGCAGTTGTTTGTTTCTCCCCAGCCACATTGATCAGACAACAACATGGCAGGACCCCAGGAAGGCCATGCTGTCTCAGATGAACGTGACAGCCCCCACCAGTCCACCAGTGCCACAGAACATGATGAACTCGGCCTCAGGTGAGTGAGATACTGTATTTAGAGCACACAGGTAATGCTTGTTCATCTTTGAAACTTGCTGGGGAAAATAGTCATATTCTTTTAAGGAAATTGGCTTATGAGTGATGTTAACTTTCCATCCAGTTTCATTCTGAGACATTTTATTTCAAAGTAGTCTGTGCCATGTGATAGCCTGTTTAATCCATGAGAGAACCAGTAACTTAAAGTTTTGGTCCTGAAGTGAGCATCTCAGATTTCTAGTTTTGTAATCATGACATGTTTGTGTTTTACTTTTCTGCTTTCTTGTGTCTGAGATCTTTTGAGCTGAAGTTTTCCTCTTTCTGTGGTTTGGATGCAAAGTGTTCATTTAAAGAAGAAAAAGAACACATGAAATTTATTACATGCTTAAGTCATGGGACTGTTATACTCTAGGCTGTAGTGTTCTTAGCCTACACTTTTTTTTGGTGTGTTTGTGTGGGGAGAGTGGGGGATTGAGACCGGGTCTTGCTATGTAGCCCACGACTGCCTCAAACTTGTGATCTTCCTGCCTCTGTCTCCTGAGTGCTAGAGTTACAGGAGTGAGCCACTGCCTTTTAAAGCAGACACTCATACTTCCTGAAGACACCTGGCAGGCAGAAATTTGTGAACTTCTGATAACCTTTCTTACTCTAGATCTAGCATGTGTTATTAAACACATCTCTACCTTTTTCACTAAAAAAATAAGCCTGAACAAAACTTAAGAGTCATTTATTTGGCACTTACTTAAGTCTGTCCTTTTTTTTCATCTAACAGTGGGGAGTCCGATGGGGCCCTATGGCAGGAAGATGTTAAAGGAAATGACGTAATGCATATAAAGTTTTTAATATGTTTCTATTACTTAGTGGAACCTTCCCTAATCATATGCCGTCAGACCCCTTTCTCCTCTGTCATGAGAGTCAAAGGCCATAGCTAACTGACTCGTTACATACCTTAGTACAAATAGGAGAATCACTTCTTTCTTGGGCTGGATTTTTGATGACTTTCCTAATCCTGTTTATGCCTGTGCTATTGCACTGGCTTCACAGCCTGTCCATCTCCCCTTTCGGAAGCCTGATGACAATGATAGCGTTGGAAGATATGCTGTACATTTTCTCAGACTGAAGGTGGGGGACATGTGCTCTTGATGGACAGGGATTCCTTGGCTAGGAGAGCACCCAGTGTGCAGCAGAGCCCTGTGGCGGCCTCTGAAGATGGTGCCAGTGTGTGGGGAGGTCTGCAGTCCGAACGCCACTCTCACTTTTGAGTGGGTTGAAAGCTTGAATTGCAAAGAGTTAAGAGCTGAAAATAAAGACCAACGCAGCAAGCTTCTCTTGTCAACTTACTCTTGACAAAAAATTGCTTCCTTGACGCTTCATTTTAACTTACTGTAATAGGAATACATTTATTTATTTTTAGAATCAGTTTTATATGTAAAATTTAATTTAAATCTTAAATTTTTTAAGGAAAGAATTATGCAAGTGTTTCAAAAATATTCTACTTTGGCAACTATTTTTCAATATAGTTTTGATTGAAAAGTTACACACATGCCTTCTAATGATTCACATTATTCACTGTGTTCATGTGCCATTGAAATCAGAAACAAATACCTCATTAGTTTCAACCTTATTTCAGAAAATCCAGGCTTTTTGTTTGGTTAGGTTTTTATTTTTGGTGGTCCTAGGGTTAGAACTTGGGGCTAGGCAGGTGCTCTACCACTTGAGTCACTCCTATTTTGGAAGATCATCCATCTTTTACTTAACATGGTTGATTGTGATTCTTGTAGAAAATTGGTTTGCCTGTTTTTTACTGTTACACTTTCTGATGACCTAAGGAAAATAGGGCTCAAAGTTATATTAAAAATCAAAGGTATATATTGACTTGGTAGGTTTTAAATAACTGAGGATGTTTTATTTCAACTCTGTTGTCTGTAAAATAAATTCATATGTTTCATATATTGTATATAAATTAGTAGGCATGCTTATTGAGCTACATTTAGTAAAGAGCTTTGGTGGGAACAGTTCAGGGGAATGGTGAGACTCACAGCTGTGGTGGGTTAAGAGTGAGGGGATCTACACAGAGAGGGCAGTGTTGGAAGCAAGAACTGAAATGAGAAAGGCCACTTCCAGAGAGACCTGAGCCTGTGGTAACAGAAGGTATTTGTTAAGATATGTGGTCGTTCTGTGGAGGTCACTTTGTACCTCACTTAACCCTGCTGTGGCTATCCCTTAAATGCTGTCATTCGTCCCACATCATATATGAAAGAACTTGAGTGGCATTTTCAGATTTCAGAAAGGAGCTTCCAGATCCCACACGCCTCATCTGTAAGTGAACCATGATAGGAAAAGTGCCAGTGAGGAAAGCCTCAGGAAAAGCAGGAGGAGCGAGCTCCTGGTGTCTGGGATGCTTCAGAGGGGAGTGGGGATGAAGAGACTTTGCCTAAGGAGGCTTGTTTCTAATAAAACATGCTGTTTTTTAAAGAGGAGCGGACACTCAAAGGACACTGGAAATCATTGCCTATAATGGAGACGGTCAGACCGTGTGATGAGTTAGGAAGGGAAGAGACTAGCTGATAGGTGTGGTAAAGCCAAAAAGCTTAAAAAAAAAAATAGTGATCAGAAGAAAGTAAAGTTGTCAGTAAAAGGTTCAAAATGAGAGTGAGATATTGTATTGCATATACATCATCCTTTGATACCTCACAGGCAGTTGGTTCCAAGACCACCTCATCCCATGGGTACCAAAATCTCCAGATGCATCATAGAAAGTAGCGTAGTATTTACATGTAACCTAGGCAATTCTCCTGTGTACGCTAAGTCATCTCTAGATTGTTTCTAATATCTAATACAGTGTAAATAGTCGTTATGCTGTGTCATTTATGTAATAATGACAAGGAAGAGAGTATACATGTTCGTACAGATACAGCTTTTTCTCTTAACACTTTTCATCCAGCCTGGTTGAATTCTTGGAAACCACTATATATGAAAGTCCCAGACTCTGACAACTTAAGCCTAGATTACTGTGAATCTTGCCACAGAAATAAATGGAAGTGTAGTTGTAAGACAGTGAGGTTATTGGCATATCTGCACAGTGAGGCCTCACTCAGAATTACAAGAACTTTCTGTTGTCTCTCCTTTCTTCCATCTGGACTTGAAGTGGTGGTGAAATGCTTAGGAATGGATGCCATGGGAACTGTCGTCCTTTTGGTGCTGGTAGTGAAACCCAGAGCCTTGCCCGTGCTAAGCATGCACTCTGTCACCCCCTCCAGCCCCATGAGAAGTGCAGCCTTGGTACATCTCATGGTCACAGAAAACCACAGCCATAGTTATCATGTCAGTAAGGTTTGCATCTAGAGACTGCTTCTCTCTCTGGAAAGAGCCTTGCTGTGTGGCTGTGTATGTACACCCTAGTGAAATAGCGGTATGGCTTCCTGACCAGCTTTAAGGGACAAAATTAGACTGGATGCAGAAGGGGCTTTATCTCATTGAGAAAACCTGCAAAAAGTGATGTCTTCTCTGCTTAAAAAAACTGATATTTAAGGAAGTTTTAAGGCCTGCAGACAATGAGAACGGACATTTGTGACGCCAATTAAATAAATTGTGAGGGCATTTGCTGTGTGACAAATGGTTCCAGTTGGGCAGGCTGTTTGTAGGTGTCACCCTGGGCAGACGCCTCCAGATAAGACAGAGCTGCACAGGCCTTTTGGAGACCTTCACTGGGTTAACCAAGCTCAGTGTAGCCCAAGTTTGCATTTTTATCTCGAAAAATTCTCTTCTTTCAAAATTCAAGTCTAGCTTTGTGTTCTGCTTTTGTCATCAGACTGCTCTCCTAACAGTACTGTTATTCTCTCTAAACTCCCAGACCTTTTTTTCTGTATTAAGTTTTAATGGTTGACTAGACAAAGTGATCATCTTAAGATTATCTTCAATACTAAGATTTTTATGAAGTCTTATTTATCTTACTAAGTCTAATTTGGTTTAACAAAAATTGATCAGTTTTGTTTTGACAAGTCTGTATTTAAAATGAGATTGAAATGATAGTTTTTTTTTTTTTTTACTAGAAACTTGTGGTTTGTAATTGGGCAAATTTCCAAATACATATAATTGAAAAATCACTCAAAAACCATGTTGGTGCTCTGGAAGCAAGGCTCAGTGTAACCTATGAGGTGATTGTAGAGGGTGTGATAATGCACATCTGTAATCCCAGCACTCTGCAGGCAGAGGTGTGGAGGCAGAGGTTTGAGGCCAGCCAGCAAGACCCTATCTTAACAAATAAACTAGGACTAGTAGAATATGTCTATAATCCCTGGGCAAAAAGACTATCTGAAAAGTAACTAAAAAAAAAAGGGCTGGGGGGTGGGGTGACTCAAGTGGTAGAGCACCTGCCTAGCAATTGCAAAGTCCTTAGTTCAAACCCCAGTGCCACAAAATTTTTTTGGGGGAAAAAAGGTTGTATTCTTTAAATCTGTTTAATTGACAGACAAATGAAAATAAACTTTGTGAAAGGAATTTGAAAGATGAGAAAAGGAAAGATTAAAACAAGAATTTGAATAATTCATTAAGATGATTTAGTTCTATTTTGCTTTATTCTATTAAAATATTATATATATATATATATATATATAAACCCATGCTTGTTAAATTGCTTAAGGTGATTGCCTTTTAAAAGTTATAAATAATATTATGCTTTTGGTACATTAATAGCTTTTTGATGTACGTTTTGGATCTGTATAAAATTGTTCTCATACTGAGATTTGGGTGAAATTAGTGATTTATGTTCCACACTAGAAAATAAGGACTTGGGAGACAGAAGTGGAACTACTTCTTTAACTGTCTCTACTTGTATGGTAGACACGAAGGTTTTAGTGTTGCTAAAATGCCCCACAGGATGAGTGATCTTAAAGTCCCAGTAAAGTCAAGTGCTGTGTGCTGGAGGGCTGATAGGTAAACTTGGAGCCGTTGATTATCAATAAGCTTTGGTTTACAATAAGTAAAATCAATTAGCCACTT